ACATTCGCTTAGGACGGACACCCGAACATGGTCATGGCCTCGGCGAACTCAATGAAGTCCTGGCAGAGGGTTTGTAGGTCGGACTCCTGGCACGCCACCTCCGAGGGCCAGGCCTCCAGCCACGTCTCCTTGCCGATGAGATAGGAGAAGCTGGGGACAAGAAGGGGACAATGGGGACACGGGCTCAGGAGGGGGTGGTACCCCGGGAAGAGGGGTGGACAACGGGGTGCACAACCCCGTAGGAGACACTGGAGAATCTCGAGCTTGGGGTGGGATGCGCCGGTGTACTCGGGTGTCGGTATCACCACGTCCCATCTACCCACGTCCCCGTGGTCCCACGTCCCCAGACGATGTGGTCCCATCCGTGTCCCCACACGTGTCCCTACCGGTTGTCGGTGACCCACAAGTCGGTGGCCAATCCCCAGAGCAGGTAGTCCTGATCGATTTGAAGTCTCAGAGCATCTCGGCATTGCCGGTGACTCACGAAGGTTCGGTTGCTTCCTGCTGGGTCCTCATCGGTGCCTGTCCCAGGGGAGGACACACAGGTGACGTGTCACCTCCACCCCAACGCAACGGGGACACCCACTTTGGCATGGCCCGCAATGGGGACTCCCAAATCCCAGGAAGTCGCTGGCATCCTTGGTGGCACCACCCCACTGGTGTCATCAGTCATGAGTGACATCAGTTCCCTCTAGCTTTGGGTGTCTTCGTCCCACCAGCCCACATGGGTGTCCCCAGCACCCTTGGGTGACACCAACCCACTTGAATGTCCCTTCCCAACGGGTGTCCCCAGCACCCTTGGGTGACACCAGCCCACCTGAATGTCCCTTCCCAACGGGTGTCCCCAGCACCCTTGGGTGACACCAACCCACCTGAATGTCCCTTCCCAATGCCCTTGGGTGACACCAGCCCACCTGAATGTCCCTTCCCAACGGGTGTCCCCAGCACCCTTGGGTGACACCAGCCCACCTGAATGTCCCTTCCCAACGGGTGTCCCCAGCACCCTTGGGTGACACCAGCCCACCTGAATGTCCCTTCCCAACGGGTGTCCCCAGCACCCTTGGGTGACACCAGCCCACCTGAATGTCCCTTCCCAACGGGTGTCCCCAGCACCCTTGGGTGACACCAGCCCACCTGAATGTCCCTTCCCAACGGGTGTCCCCAGCACCCTTGGGTGACACCAGCCCACCTGAATGTCCCTTCCCAACGGGTGTCCCCAGCACCCTTGGGTGATGCCAACCCACGCAGGTGACCCCAAGCCCCCCTAGTGACACCAGCCCACCTGAGTGTCCTTGTCCCCCACCCCTGAGGTGCTCGTACCCATCTTGATGACGGAGAGGATGGTCATGATGTAGTTGTCATGGGACGGCGACTGCTCCGTTGCCACCAGCTTCACCTTGTACACTGGGGAGGGGGACGTCACCGTGTCACCCCCCACCCCTAGACAGCACCCCC